ACTTCCACCATATCCGTCACGTGAGCTGCTGTAATCATCATAGCGACTGCTTCCACCATAAGATGGCGGGGGCCCTCGTGTGGGTGGAGCACTACGTGAGTTACCTGCAGGGTCAATGGTCAGGTAATATGGCAACACTATAAATTGTATATATACAACATTTAAATCTGAATTTACAGAATTTTTGTATTAAACGTTTACTTTCTTAACTGGGAAGTTTTAAACTCTGCCATTGCTGGCCATAACAGGGGTTTGCTCATCTGCTGAGACTGAAAGGATTGACTTTAGGGTTTGTTTGAAAAGACTGAAGACGGTGTGTATTTCAAGAGGATATTCCAGACAGCTTGTTTATTTTATAGTAGAAACTCAGCCACTTTCCAGTGATAAGTTGCAATTTTGAACTGTAGACTTTCCTTCATATTGCAATGGTAAACATTTGATCTTGTTAATAAAATTTTTAAATTGTATTTTCACTGTTGGGGGAAAACACATAAGGCTGCCAATTTAAGCAAGCAAAATCCCCTCCAAAGCAAGCAAACAGCCTCAAAAAAAAACTTAGAAAAAAAAAAGCCCCTCAAAAAACTAGGAAAAGCCCAGCTGATAAAGTTACCCCCTAAGAAAGCAAGCAAACATCCCCTTTCAAAGCAAGCACCACACAGCCTAATAAACTGGCTCATGAACCTAAAAACTCAAGCTGGTGCCATTCAAGACCCTCCAAGCAGTATCTTACCATAGCTCTCATAGGAGTCTCTATAGGAGCCTCCACTAGGATGGTCTGAATAGTCACGATCACGACCATAGCCATCTCTATCACTGCAAAGGAAAGGGAGACTGTAAGGCCCAGAGCATCGCCTTCCACAGCAGTAGGCAGCACCATGTGGCCAGGGAAGCAAAAGGCCTTACCTATACCCTCTGGAAGGATAGTCATCACGTGAACTGGAATGACCATAGTCACGGTATGTATAATCTCTTGGTGGTGGTGCATAATCTCTCGTGTCACGAGAACTCGGGTAATCTCTGCTTGAATAGCTGTATAAACAAAAGTGATGTGGTTCATGGTTTGGTGAGCCACGCCTCTTCAACAGTAATTACCTGTGCGAAGGCTTTGGTAATTTTCTTTTACCTGTCTTTAGTGGAATATCCATCATCTCTTGGGGACAAATATACGTCCCTACGAGAGGGCAAGGGTTCCCTTCGTGGTGGGCCTCCATAACTATCTCTTCCACGTGATACAGGAGCTTAAAGGAAAAAAAAATTCTTAAATGCTCCAAGAGAAAAATTTAATGTGAATTTACATTCAGGCTATTAAGCAGAGATTTATCGATATGGAGCTAGATAATGGAATTTTTCCTCAAAAACGTCGATTTCTGTCTGTAGCCTAAATTCTCTGCAGTGCTCATGAATGGCATGTACCTAAGCTCTGGTAAGGCATTTGACTGCTAACCAGATGGCAGAGGTTCAAACCCACTGCCAGCTGTCCAAAAGCAGGAACCTAAGGCAACCTACTTCTGTGAATATTTACAGAATTAGAAATCCAAGGGAGGTCCACAGGGTTCTAATTGAGTTGCAGTTTTAGGATTCGTCTCCCAAATCTTTCTTGTGTTTTACTAGTAGGGCAGACTATTCTAAATGGAAATTTACCTCGACCTCCCATTCCACTGCTGCTGCGAACTGGTCCTGAAGGGGCTGATCTTTTCGGAGGAGGACCTCCACTTCTTGGTGGTGGTCCTCTTTTTACTGGAAGTGGTCCCCTCGAAGAACTCATGTTAAAATTCATGGAATAGCCACCATCATCTGCGTTAAGGAAGTAAAGACAAGTACGTTAAATCTCACAACCAAGAAAAAGCTATACATCTTTCTTATGACAAGAATACAAAACCGTGATTCGTTTCACTAGGCAGACCAGTTTGAATTTTCACTCATACAAGATTAATATCAAGCAGTCAGTCTTAAAGACTGGGAAGACAAAACTGAAGTTAACACTTGGAAAACAAATACAAATTGTTTTATTTGTATATGCCCACCCATCACCTATATCTATCCAAAGGAAATTTTCTGAATGTTTTCCCTACAGAATTAACTACTTAGACCAAGAATAGTGTCCATCATTGAAATGAACACTTGTTCTTTAACTTAAGATACGTTCTATGTTTTCCTTTTAAATCATTACCTTGTTACATAAAATTTCAGAACCTGGTTCCATTCTCTGAACAAAGACTTAGCCTAAGCATACATTACCGTGGTCTCCAGTTCCTAACTTACACCATTACACCCATGGTCTATAGAAGTCATTACCCATGTGTCCCCCACGCGAAGGGGGTCCCCTTGTTCCTCCACTTCCTCCTCTTCCACCTCTAAGACCCCTTGGAGGGCCTCTGCTTCTTGGAGGTGGAGGGGGTCCACGTCTACCACTTTCAAATGTTGGTTTAGTGGCTTGTTCCACCTTGATGGCTTTTCCATCTAAGGACTAACAAAAGTTTGAAATGTTGGCTTATATCAAAATGAAAAATAACTTTTATATCCATCATACACTGACACTGAAATGTTCTTCAAAATACAGTTACCAAATATACCAACTGGTAAATCCCTCAGTCTAGAAAAACTTAATATACTTTTCTTTACTTACATAAAAAAGTTCCTTTTACATTAAATGTTTACTCTGTCTTAAAAATCATACTGTCTAAAATCCACTGTCTACACTGGAACTCTGGTAGCACAGTGCCTAAGGCATGTGACTGCTAACCAGAAAGTTGGTGGTTCAAACCCACTAGCCACTCCATGGAAGGAAGACTGGGCAATCTACTTCCTTTAAATTTAACTGGCTCCAAAACCCAAGAGGGGTTTGCTTTTTGAGTTAGAATCAAGTAGATGGCAGTTGTGTGTGTGTGTTTTTTTTAATGTCTATGCTAAGAAGCACTAAATAATCTGTAACTTTGGCTACAATATTTACTTCCAAAATTACAGTATCCTTTCTTATTACTACAAAGGACTGTAGGACTCTTATGAAGACATAATGAGGAGCTGCTGTGTTAGGCACTGTGATAACTGAACACACTTTTATTTTGCACATTAGAAATTATTAGCGCTGCAATAAAATCACCTTTCCATTCATATCTCTGGCTGCATCTTTGGCATCAGCCGGGCTTTCAAAGGTGACAAAAGCAAATCCTCTCGATTTGTTTGTTTCACGGTCTTTCATCAAGAGCACTAAAAAAAAAAGAGTTTGAGGGGAAAGCCAAGTGTTAAGTCTAGTTCCAACACAACAACAAAAGACACTGTGCATGAAGCAAGCTCAGAACTTCTTAGAGGACAAATTAACATTATCACTTCAGATGATCACCGCAATCATTTTCATCATGGCTCACTTTATTTTAAGAACCTAGGATATACTTTCAGGTCATTTACCTTCCACAATCCGTCCATATTTGCCAAACACTGCTTCAAGCGCCTTCTCATTGGTTTCAGTATTGAGCCCACCAATGAAGAGCTTTCCTGGACGATCGGCTTCAACCATTTTTCCTCCTGGGGTGATTGTCTGTTGGAAAAAAAGAGGCTATTAATCTCTTTGGAAAAGCTGATCCAACACCGTGGTGCCTTTTGCATTCCTTTTACTGAAGCAATTACTCAATTACCAAAGTTACCTACAGCAATCTTATTGAAGCCTAAACCAACACAGGAAAGCAATTAAAATTAGGTTAAGTTTAGTAATAACGTAATTTACCCTCACCCAGTAGGGTCAACTTAAATTTGCCATTGCACTTAATCTCCCTTGGCTTGTTTTTAATTAAGAAGTTACTCAATGCCTTGGGGGATGGTTAAAAAAAAAAATGGAGATTTCCGCTGTCTTCTAAAGATTTGCTTACTTATTATTAGCACACCCCAGGTACCCTACAGATGGAGTTTTTCAAAGTCTAGGGACTCGTTCAAGGTCACAGGCCAGACCCAGTACCTTAACACTTAAGCCTTCCTCCTGGGGCTCTTTCCTCATTAGGATTCGCTTGTCCATCTAAGCAGAGAACTAAAGTTTGAGCCAAGTTCTGCCTTCCCCTCTTACCAGGCTCCGCGCTCGCCCCGCCGCAAAGGTTACTGTCTATCTGCCTGCAAAGAAACGGAGCTTCAACACTTTCATATTAACTAACGGAACGGGGATGGGCACAGTGTAAGACTCAACACTGCACACGACTGCGGCAGAACCCAATTGAAACCCGTCATTAAAAACCGCGTGGAGAAGACAAAATGGCGACACTTGGAGTTCACCCAGAACAATCAGCATCGATGAGAGGAACTTTTACCACCCACAGAGGCTGGACAAATTCAAAAGCCTACCTCTCGAAGGCCGCCCATGAACAGGGACCTCTCACAAAACCCGCATGCCCATCCCGCGCGCCAGCGCCATCCCGATGCAGAGACCGCGGTGGCACGGCTCTTCCCGCTCCAGCCTCCCAGTCCCAACCTTCACCACCATTTCGGCAGGCGGCCTTGCAAAACTGTTAGAGGGATACAAGGAAACGAATCCCCTAGTTTGTTTTCTTTCCACCCTCTCCGAACCATAAAATACCTTGGCGCCTTTGGGTTGTAAAATGGCGCCCGCCGCCCACATCTCCAGGGAGATAATCCCACATTCTAATGTGGGACGAATATACCAAAAAAAAAGGACAAGGATTAAGGATGTACATACTAGAGAGATGACGACCTTGGTTTCAAGCCCCTACGAGCTTGGCGACTGGAGTTTCGTAGCGACTCAGCACGAGGGCTGACTGCCGGGTCGGAGAGCGCAAGAGGAAGCAGCTAGCACTACTGCGCAACGAGGGCGAACAAAGGAGACAGCAAACTTTATAGTGCCCGGGAACGAGGCTGAAGGACCCGGATGGAAACCGAGCTCGGAATTTGAAACGCAAAGGGAGGGGAGCGGTACCCAGCCTCCCCATTCGTCGACTCCTTTGTCACTCACTCGCTCCTCCCCTTTCCCCAGGGCCTCTGCGTTCCGGCGGCGCATGTTTCTAACCGTTTGCCCTACCCCCATCCGGCTGCCCAGCGCGGGCTTTTGCTTTCCGCTTGAAGACTGTACAGGCTTCATTAATTAAAAAAAAAACTGACTTGTATTGAGCGTTCTAGTGGGTTCTCACAACAATATGATGAGGGTCATACTCCTACTATCCCAATTTTAGGGAAGTGGACAACAAAGACGTTAGGTCGTGAAATATATTTCCAAAATTAACTTTTAACAAGAATTTTTAATGAATGGAGGAAATTCTGGTGTCAGGTTAGGGGATTAAACCGTATAAAACAGCATGGATAGACTTAATTCAAGTATAGCAATTAATAAACACCTGTTTAAAGGCAGGCGCTGGGCGAGGCGGTGGGGATACAATCCAGAAAAACCCAGACCACAGCAGGTCGCCTCACGTGTAAGGTTGTCCAAATTTAGCTAATAAAAATACAGGATGCTCAGTTAACTTTGAATTTCAGCAAAATAATGAGTAATTTTTAGGAAAAATAAGTGCGTCCCAAATAGACACACACAAAAAAATGTATTTGTTATGCCACAAATATCACAATTAACAAGCACAATAATTGCGGATCGTAATCACTGCTGGGAAGAACATAAACTAGTTGCTTTGATGGACAAGTTAGGGAGACCAAATTTGATTAAGAGGTCAGAGAAGGTCAATCTGAACAAGTGACCAGCTCAGACCTGAAGGGAGAAAAGGAACCAGCTACAAAAAAAACTGGGGAAATGATTTTCAGGAAAAAGAAGAGAACACAAAGCATAAAGTGGAGAGAAAGAGGTTGTCATGTATCAAGGGACAGGAATTGAGGGGCAAAAGTGAGGGAACCAAAATTATAGGGGGCCAAGAGGGGGATCAGGGGAACCGATGGGGCTGTGGGAGCAGACGAAGAGAGGATGGTGACTTGAATTAGGTAATAGCCATGGGGATGAGTGAACAATTGCTACATTTATGAGGCAGGTAGAATGGACAGAACTTGCTGAAGTCAGATGGGAAAAGACGGTGGAATTGAGGAATCAGAAAAAGTCATTATGGATGACTTCCAGGGAGCTGGTGTAAGTAGGACAAAGGGTGATAGCATTTACATTAAATGGAAAGATTGCATACGATGAAGTTTGGGGGGTGACAGCAGAAGAATGTGCTCAGAGGAGAGACCTGGGCTAAATCGTTGCTTTAGAAATGGTAATAAAAGTCATCAGAATGGATGAAACCACAAAAGGGAGGAAAGAAATAGGAACTATCAATATCTATGGAGACAAAACAATTGGAATATGCTACATGTTACCAATCATGGGAGGTGGAATTTAGAATTCTTTTTCTTCTTCATAGTTATAATTGCATTATGGTCCATGCCATGCAGGTAGTAGAAAATGGTCCTCAGGTCCTGGGTAAAAGGCCCCAGGGAGCTTGGGAACCAGGTCTGAATTATTATCATTAGTTGGGGGGAATAATGCTCAGTAGGACAAGAATATTCATTTTTATTTTTTCCCCAAATCATAACAAAGCAAAAGCCATGTCCATCTGCCTTCAGAATGAATTGTATCAATTGATTGGCTCTGATAGTTGAGAGTTGGCCAAGTGGACGAAATGACTTGACCCCTGACAGGATCAGAAGTTATGACAGTGCTCCCCAGGGGGAACAAGGAGACATCCCTGACCTTAGGGAGGCAGCACTATCTTTCTGGGGCTCAGGACCAGACAGAAGGTCTACAGGACCCTCCCTAGGCTCCAAGTCCAAGCCAGGCCTCCCCCAGTGTAGGGCAGCACATTATAGGTTCCACAATAGAAGTCCCTGTTCCCCTGGATCTAAAGAAGGAAACAGACATTCCTGTGGGGACTGGTCTTTCCAGTATATTTCAAGGAAAATTGGGGAGGGGAAGAGTAGAGCACTCCGGACAGAGGGACAATGCTTCCTAGGTGGGAGGAGGGGAGGAGAATGGCTATGGAGGGAACTGCCTGAGGGGGTCAGTATAGCTAAGTAGCACAGAGTAGGGGGGCAGAGAATGACAAAAGAGGTTGAAGACAGAGGCAAAAGGCCCAAACACTAAATCCTGAGGGCACTGGGGGAGGGGAGCCTTTTTTAAGAGCAGGAAGAAAGTGAGGTAATCAGATTTGCATCTTAAAGCCATCTCTCTGGTTGCCTCCTGGAGACTGGGTTGGGGGGGTGGAGGGACAAGAAGCTGGAAGACAAATTAGGGGTATTGCTAATGTAAATCCCGGAGAGAGGAATGGAGGCGTGAGACCATGGGCACCTCTTGTCAATACGCAATCAGATAAACAGCTCTCAGGAAATCCAAAGCTAATTTATGGATCCCATCTCACCTCCTCATGGGTCTTCTAAATTTTTAATTCACTTCATTTTCAACCTCTTCCACTTTACTCCTTTGGATGATCAATTAACTATAGTTATATTTTCTTTTTAATATAACTTTTCCTTTGCCATTGTTTCTCTCCAGATGCCACCTCAATGAGTGGCTGATAGACCCAGTCATGCAATATTATTTGGCCACTAGGTATCCTTGGCCCTGAGTGTATGTTGGCGAGTGGCATAGACAGACTCTGCTTTCGTGACTGAAAGCTTGGATGATGAACGTTGAAGGGGTCATTGTACTAGTGAAAGTTGTATGGGAAATTAAAAAGAGTGACATATGTATAGCCCACAGAAGTTGCCAGGACGGTCTTCTTGGAAAAAATAAAATTTAAATTCACATCTGAAGGAAGTACATGAACTTGGGGAAGATGGGAGGGAGAGAACAACACATAGAAAAGCTTGAGCCAAAAAGCAGCTTGGAGAATTCTGGAGGTGGGGGGTGGGCAGGGGTAGCAAAGGTTTGGAGTGTAGAGCCCCAGGGGAGGGGATTGTAAGGACCATAATTAATTCATTTAATCTTCACACCAACTCTGATTTAGGAGCTCTTGTCCCCATTTTACAATGAGAACACAGACATAGAGATGTTATTTTCCCAAGGGTCACACAGCTTGAAGGCACCAGTCAGGACTAGGATATTCCTCACCATTGCTGTCTGCGTTATCTTTTTAAAACACAGATGTTTGTCACCCTTTGCTAAAAAAACAATTATCACCTCAAGAGGAATATAAACTCTAGCCAGAGGCCCTTTGGCCCCCTCCTGTGTATGAAACTCCTTATTTATCAAGGCTCAGGTCCAATGATCCCTGTCGCTATTCTCCCTCCACTTCAGAATTAAATGCTTTTTCCACTCTGATGTCTTGCCTCTTGAGATGGACCTTGTTATAAAACCAAAAATCCAAACTTACTGCCATCGAGTTGATTCTGACTCACAGCGACCCCAATTGGGTTTCCTAGGTGGTAAACCTTTATGGAAGTAGATTGCCCCATCTTCCTTCCACAGAGCAGCTGGTGAGTTTGAACTGCTAACCTTCTGGTTAGCAGTGAAATGCCTTAGGCAATATGTCACCAGAGCTCCTTAGATCTTGTTATGTTGTTATGTTGTTATGTGCCGTCGAGTCGGCCCCGACTCATAGC